TACACAGTAAATAGAATAGAATTTTCTTTAGAGTTCTCACAGGATATTTATTTGATCGTGAAGACACATTCCATTAGCATTCTTTTTTTTGGGACAAAAGCCTGGAACTATGTGTATTCCTGTAGTACTGGGCTTTATTTGGCATCTTGCATACAAAAACTATGCGTGTATATATTCAAGTACATAGTGCATTAGTTCTCACCTTGTCTTTGAAGTAAGTGAACAGATAGTTCTTCCATTCCTCTGTGGTTACACTGCCATAGGCAAACAGCTGAATGTAAGACTTCACGAATCCCATGAAGACCTCTATAATTAAAGGCAGCGAAAGACTATTTTTCCTTTAATTGGTATAGATATTTGTTCTATATTTTTAAAATGCATTTAATTATGATATTTTAATGGTTGTATATTTATTTAAACATTATTAACATAAATTAACACTATTTTGTGCATATTTTATTGTTGTTAATATTGTATATTTATATTCTGTCATTCAAACTCAGTCAGAAGTTCTGTCATCAAGGAAAAAATTCTATGATAGTCAATGGCTACCGTCCACTGTTTGGTTACCCACATTCTACAAATCTTTTGTGCTTAACAGAAGAAAGAAACTGGTTTGGAAAGTCATGAGGGTGGGTAAATGATGAGAGAATTTTATAAATCTTGACCTTTTAACTTTAGATCTACTTTTAGCAGTTTAAACTGGGAGAGGAGAAAGTATTTTGTGTGGGTACCTGGACCTCCCAACAGTTCCTCCAGATGATACAGCAGAGCAAACCCTTTCTCGTAGGGCACAGAGGAGAATGCTTCATCCGTGTCCACCTCATGCAGATTTGGGACCAGGTTTGTGAGCACATTATTCGCTCCAAACTGTTTCACCTACAAAACAATACAATAGTGACTTGGTTTACCAGTAAACTGCATCAGGAAATCTCAACAGAAAATCACCAAACAGACAGAAAAAGGAAAAAATTGTTGATGCAGCACAGTGCATAATTTGCATGATTTTAGATCTTCAGACTAATCTGTTGTAATTTAAATGTGTGACTTACAGACTCTTGAAGCTCTTTCCACCCTCCGATGCCTTTAAACTGCCTGAGCTGTTCACTCTCCATACTCCTGGCAATCATTCTCTCAATGTACACCGTATGACCCTCATTCAACCTGGTTCAAAAAAATTAAAGGGGTCATATCATAGAAAACAGGATCTTTCTAGCTGTTCTGAAATGAAGCAGTTCAAAGTACTACTGAACACTGTCCGATCATTACAACCAAAAGATGCCTCTTTTGCATATTCGGATCGGCATATTCAGGAATGACTGGCATATTCGGACTGACCAGAAATGCTCCCAGGTCCTATTGGTCACTAGGTTCCCCGTCCAGCTGTGGGAGATTTCATGAGCAATGACCTGCAGCAAAACCAAAAGCACAGAGCGCATTCACATCAGCAGAAGATATGTGATTTCCAACAAATTAACCTCTTAACCTATAAATTATCAAATGAACCACATTATCCTAAAAATATTTTCATGCACAGATGACTTACGCCAGCGAGGGATCGGTCTCCAGCCTGAAAAACACAACGAAAGAATATGACCATCAACAAACAGACGTTTTATCACTTTTTAGTTTTAATTATTTTATTTATCTTTGCTTTTTTACACTCTGGTTCGATGTGGTTCTGGTATATGTTTCTGTTTATTATATAATAATAACAAAAACAAGAATATTTCATTAACACTCAGGGTTATGAATGAATTTAACCAATGAATTTAAACTTCCATGACCTCTCCAGTTGAACAAGAGCAATATGTAGTCAATTAAATATTTTACAAAAGAGAAAATGCACAAAAATATATTTACTATAGAAATGTGCATTACTTAGCAATAAAATGTCAAACATATAATACATAATAATATATAATAATAATATACTGTACAATATATTGTATAATATACTATATATATATATGCTCACCAAAGCTGCTTTTTTTAACAAAGATGCAGTAAAAACAGTAATATTGTAAAATATTATTACAATTTTAAAAGTTGTTTTCTATTTTTTTAATATATATTTTTAAAATGTCATTTATTTCTGTGATGGCAAAGCTGAATTTTAATCAGCCGTTACTTCAGTCTTCAGTGTCACATTATCTTCAGAAATTATTTTAATTTGGTGCTCAAGAAACATTTCTTATTATTATCAATGTTGA